TGTGTCCGGTATATGGCAACAGGATCACCCCCTATTACATGGGACTCATAACATAAATAGTGAAAAGTGAGTGTTACGTTGTACAGTGGCATAATGTGCACATCTGCCTACCCCTTCGGGGATAAAGGGCGTAATATTATGTTATGTTAGATTACGTAAAAACAAAAACATTACCCTCCTTCTTTGGCAGTCGGGTAAAAACAATCTCATATTTTTTTTGTCTACCACGACATCTTGCATAAATTCTAGATACATATTTTTTAACTATTTAAATCACACACTGGAAAGTGCCGAATATAATATACACATAACATCTTCTGCCAGCGGATTAGCACGCAATCACGCTGGATAAAACGTAGCCTATGTGTCATTCCAGACCTTAACCTACGCCTGTTCCAAATTTCTTCTCGATCCCTTCAGCCATTTTGGAGGGAAGAAGTGAGAAACAATTGGGATGATGACAGGGTATGAACATTAAAAATCTAATTAATCCGTCAGTTAGGTAAAGAAAAAATATTAGACACGTATTTTTTTATTTTGTCGTAAAATAAAACAATACTTAAATAAAACAAATCAAAGTTTTAGGAGTGGGGGTTAAAACGTCATTTCTACGTATAAAATATACATAGAAGTGACGTCACGCGACATTTCAAATCAATATTGAAAGTATAATTGAGGCTCACGACCAGTTAATCTTCCATGCTTTCAATAATGAGTAAAGAAAAGAGAAAATCAAATACTGTCGCCTGGCCCTTAACTCGTCGAGTACCGGTTTTGTATACACAATTATAGAACAATAGGTTGCGGTCACCGGTGACCGCTTGGTGTTTGACAGTTTAAATCTATAACCTTGACCTTAACTTTAGTTGCTGGTAACTATTTAAACGAGAGCAAGGTCCCTCTCAATTCTATCTATGTAAGTGCAAAACAACACCTTTAAATGCCTTCTCTTAGAACATACAAACGTTTATGTTTTTTGATCTATGTTAAAGGCATTTCCAGTGTTACTATTATAAATAAAATCTAAAGCCCAGCTCAAACTAAGTTTCCAAGACAACAGTCGGACTTTAGACCAACGCAATCTCATTAATAGCTTATTTAACTATACGATACACATTATGAATAACGTACTTTTTTTAAGGGGGGAAATCATCGAATGACTGCTCCCGCCTGGGTGAGGCGGGAGGGAGTGTCAGACTCTTACTGACTAAAAACCACCCCGTTCCTCCTCCTGCACTTCAAGCTTAAGCCCCGGTAACCCGTTACGTTCTCCGCGGGTCCGTATGAACAACGTACTTATAACTACATCACAGACACACACAAATGAAATTCCAACAACAATCGTTTAGTCACGAAAACTCACGCAATTTTTGAGCAAATAATTTCTAATTTCTCCCGCCGAGCCCACGACCGGTGGCGTGACGTCGCGTAATCGTCGCGTAACAGTTACGTCGAACTGTTATGAAACATCAACAAGACCTATTGGTCTGGTGCTATTGCACATGACCATCCTCTGCGGGACTATGGGTTCCTTCCATGCAAATTGATGTCACGAAAATAATCATAATGCATAATCCGTCCTGATTTAATCAATCCTTCTCCATCCTTTAGACAACGATAATATTAAGAACCCTTCAAATATATATTAATCGTTTTAGTAATTAGTCTCAATGGTCCTACAAGACACTATATTAATATTAGTCCTAATATATTCTGAAGATATCATACATCATTAATATGAGGAAAAATGGTAAGAAATAATCAATAATCTTAATGATTTTAACAGTAATAAAGAATGTGATTCTCATTAGGACTTAAAACACGTGTTATATTCGTGGGACACTAATTAGTATCTGTTACAGTTTTCCTGTATTTTAGAATTATTAAAAAACATTGTCTTTATAAAGATTTATTTTGATCTGTATATTTAACTGTTAAAGCCTTGAAACTTTTTTTATACTACGTGTAAGTAGAAGCAAATCTTACGAGCCGCCGAGCCTTACTTTTGTTGAGCAAGACCGAACCCAACAAAAGTACTAGTCCTAGACAAATAGTTATCATTTATTGTGACTTTATAGGTACGTGGTCATTGGTCAATATCCAAATTTGTTTTAAACTGTCAAACACCAAGCGGTCACCGGTGACCGCAACCTATTGTTCTATAATTGTGTCTACAAAACCGGTACTCGACGAGTTAAGCGGTAGCAGGAGTAAACGAGCAGACACATTACCTACTGGTAAGCGATCAACGACGTCCATGGACACTATAATACCACAAGAGTCACTAGTAAGTGTGGGAGAGTCATGCTTCGGTACGAATCGACCGGAGTGATGCCACGGCCTCAAAAAACACCAGCGTGAAACAACACTTGCGTGTGAGTGAGGTTACCGGAGGCACAACTACCCCCTTCCCCAAACTACCCAATGCCTGAATCTTTAACAGTCCTCAAATTCCTAATCCCTCATAAAGATCGGTGATGCACGTGTATGGCGTCTGGTGTTCCAGGTGTCTATGGGCGACGTCACTTGCTTACCATCAGGTGATCCGTCTGCTCGTTTACCGGCTTATACACCATAAAAAAGTGCGTTACCGGCTTCTATGTAATACCGTTTTTTTTTTAAGTTTGAACTCCTAAAGTGGTATCAGTTTAGAAAACCTACAGGCGACAGTTCATTCCTAATCCTTAAGTCTGCGTCCAATTGGTCAAAATTGGCATATCTTATAAAAGAGCTATATCCGGCATGTCCCTTATATTGTATCATTGTCACTGGACATTCAGGTTGTAGACTTATTGATATACAAAAGAACCGATATTGAGGACCAAAGCATAAAAAGACTGGTCGGTAATATTTATAATCGTCTTAAGATAATCTACTTATTAGACTAGCTACTGCAGCGTGGTTCCACCAGGGGGCTTACTCTTGAATCCAATTCCGATCGATCGACATTGGTATTGTGAAATTTCGTACTCTTGACTTGAGTTGCAACACTAGCGCCCATTGCATCCGTATTGCATGGATATTGAATGAACTAAATGGTATTGAGTTTGGCTTTATATTCCGTACTCTGAACAATGCTATTTTAACAGCTACGATTGTGGTTGTTTAATTTTGACATTGAATAATTATTGAGATTTTATTGGATTGAAATTGCATTGACATTGAGATTGGTTTCAAGAGTAAGCACCCTGCTTTGCTCGGCTCCTATTGATCGTCGGGTGATGTTTTATAGCTTATAACCTTCCTCGATAAATGGATTATCCAACACAAAAATAATTTTTCAAATCGGTCCAGTAGTTCTCGAGATTAACGCATTCAAACAAACAAATTCTTCAGCTTTATATAATAGTATATACAGTATATAATATATCTATATATATATAAATGAATCCCTTTTCCCATGGTCACGGCATGAATGGCTGGACCGATTACACAAAATAATGCAGGTCAACCAAATCCCAACAAACAGATCGATTGTCCAGAATTTTATCATTCGGAACTTAATTAATTATAATCTTTAAATACTAAAATATCTGTATTGTAACTTTCGTGAGACATACTAAATCAATTATTATGTTTTCCGTTTACTCACGTAATAATTAAAATGCGGCTCATGAATATGAGCCTCTAGCACGGCTTGAAACTAGTCGAGTCCCTCGTCAAATTATTACGTGAGTAAGCCGAAAACATAATAAATTAACTAAAATATCTATTGTCACGCCAATTTGCACCTTATGCGTATCGAATACAAAAAGTAAGTTTTACAGTAGTTTTACGTACCCAGTTAATTGTTAGGAAAGTATTTCCAATTATCAAACTTCCGCCTTACGCATAAGTATTACATTAGCTTGTAAAAAATATAATTTATTCCCATTAGTTACAGTCAATCGCTAAAACTAGCATGTAATTGCATAATTAATACACATACATACAAACAAGTACCTACTATGTACGTACATACATAATTACTGTAATCACAATTACTCTATCGTATGTACCTATGTCTTTCAATATTTACGAATAATTAAAACATATCATTTATTTACAATTCGATACCAATTTGGACTCTATGTTGGATATTTCATCTCCATTTCCAAAAGACTAACGGGAAATGTCTAATAACTGATCTCAATACAAAGATGTTGGATCATTTACATTCATTGGATCACACGAATTCTATTGAACTTCTGTCAAAAACTTAGATTCAGATGTCGTTTCCTTCCTACCTATCTGGAAGTCATTGGGGAAGGCCTATGTTCAGCAGTGGACATCTTAAGCAGACATGATATAAAAGATGAGGATAATTGATTTCAGTCGTTAACTTACAAAAAAAGAAGTTTGCAAATCACGCCTGACACAATTTTGAAAATAGAACTTTAGAACTAGGCAAAAAAAACATCAATTCATTTTTAAAATTTTAAATCTGGAACGTTGTTTACATAAACTAGAATGTATTTTTTAAACACGAATCGTTTACTAGCCCTTCTATAACTACTGGCCACGTGTGAATGGGTCTTACATTAGTGAAAGTTCATCACATTGAATGATTGTAGTACATAGTAACACAAGTTGAAGATGACTGTCTACTATAAGCATTCATAAAAAAACTAACAACCTCAGGTGATTAATGTTCTACATTTCACACAATCTGAAAATTAGTTCCTATCTCCAAACCACAAGACCTAGAATCACTTGCAATTTTTTGGCGGGATTGCAAATGACAAATCGACGGAGATGTAAAGGTATGTAATTACAGTTCACGGACTCAATTAAACTCGACCTCGTCATTGCCCCTCAATTAATTTCCCACAGATACTATAATTATTTAAATCCAAGAGTTTTATCACACCACTCGTAACACTTGGCATCACATAAAATCTGCTATGTCAACAAAAAAATCGTCGACGCCGGCTATAACATGGAATCCACGTTATCAAATTACGTAATAATAAAATAAACATGAATGTAACAGAAATATGTGAAAAAAATTATAGACTTACTTTACAAAATCCTTTTTTGGCAATGATAACAAAAACAACGGTAACATATAAAAGTTCGTTCACTTCGCGGGCACGGTTCGTACACGTGCTCTCACACTGACACACTAACTACGACTGGCCACTCGACTCCACACCTCCAACCTCGTTAAACTTGTGCCGGAATAAAAAGTTAACTTTCTAAATTCGAATTTGCGAATCGAACGGACAGGTGAGTGCTTCACCAGCGGACCGAGGAGTTTATACGTCACTATCGCATGTTGTATTCAGCCAGTGAGAAAAGGGTCTCATTGTTAGCTTTTAACAATAGAGGTCGCGGTGCAAAGGTCTTGCACCTTATATTTTATTGCAATGTACTTTCAACCTTGAAGTTCGTGACTAAAATTAGACTAGGTAACAATTAAAAAAGTAAACAAAAGCAGTAATATGAAGTATTTTATTTACGAATAAGATAAATAAAAGGTGACTTGTGCTAGTAGGCATATGGTTTATAAGGATACATTTTTTTAATGGGGGGAAATCATCGAATTACTTCTCCCGCCTGAGTGAGGCGGAATCTCTTACTGACTAAAAACCACCCTGTCTCCTGCACTTCGAGCCCGAGCCCCGGTAGCCCATTAGGTTCTCCGCGACATGATAATACAATAAAGATGACATCTACATAGGTTAATGCTACCTACATATAGGTGCATGCTAAGTATATATCCAAAAAACGATACAATAAATTGAAAAAGATCTATAAACACGATGAAGTTATAAAAATTGTGATCGCTTTTCAATTTTCGTTTTATTTTTACAGTCGAAAATAAAATTAAAATAGAGTTATTGTTACAGCGATGTTGTTAGGCATATACCTATTGTTAAGTATTCAAATTTTAATTATAAAATGCTCGATTCATACTGGCCTTGATGAATTGGTTGTTCGGAGGGGTAAGTATACCTAATTAAATTAATTATAATACAATTATTAAAAAAAAGACAATAAATATTTCACCCGCTGCCCCTACGTTGATCGGGAAAAGATGTAGGTATACACGGCCACAGATCAATCTATACAAAACCAGTTTATCCTGGTGTCGCGTCGCATCATCTTTCCGCACATTTAACGTTCAGTTTATACTGGTTATGTAAAGCTAAATGTGTAGCCGTGTGTACTGGGTTTTACAAAAGTATGACAAACTTTGGAATATTTTTTTTATATTTGATGGGCCCACGTTTGACCACTACCTATCTCACCTCACCACCGTAAGCGATGATACGGCCTGCGATGGTGCACGACTGCCCATAGTCAATCTATTCACTCGGGCCTTGAAGACATCCAGGTTATAACCCTTCAGGAAACACAGACTTCCGTTTTTAAAAACAGTCCCATATCCTACTAATGCGCACACATAAGATAAACAGGCAAATTAAATAAGACGATGGTATACAAATATTAGCTTCTTAAATTTTCCAATGAATTCTCAGCTTTAATACTGACAATTTCTACATCATATGTCTTTTTCTAATTTAAACTCAACCCTAAACCACAGTCAATAACTATGAACTAATTTCAGTTGATCCGAAATTGATCGAAAAAAAGCGTGAGAACACACGCGAGATGTGTAGGATCTTCAATTCGGAAACTTTTAGGACCATGATGCCAGGCCAAGGGCTACCTTTCACAAATTTCGACCAAAATGAACTAACACAAAAAGAGAATGGGAATGTGAAGGAGAAAAAGAAAGCAGAAGAAAAGATCCAGATTCGTCCCAGGAGGAAAAGAGACATAAAATCTATAAACCCAGCTCTCAAACCAAAAGATGAAGAGAGAGTAGAAAAGATAGTTGATAAAATATACGATGATTTACTTGAAAAGGGACATAACATATCTTATAGGCGCAAAGAACTACCAACAGTTGATGATAAAGGCAAACCGGTAAGTTAGGAAGAAAAAAAGATTAAGAACCTGTTAAGCTATTCTGTAAGATGTCAATTCGAACCCTCAAAGTGAGCTCACATTCTCGCCCGTCATTGGTCAAGATTATTCCAATAGACTTCCAATTGACAGGGAATAAAAATTAAAAATGTAATTAGTCCGTCAGTTAGGTAATGAAAAAATAAGATACGTATTTTTTTATTTTGTTGTATAAAAAAATGATACTTAGATATAACGAATCAAAGTTTAGGAGTGGGGGCTAAAACGTCATTTCTACGTATAAAATGTACATAGGAGTGACGTCACGTGACAATTCAAATCAATATATCTTCGAAACTATTCGTTTCCGTAAGAAAATAAAAAATACGTGTCTAATGTTTTTAAATAATCTACCAGGCGGACAAAACGACAGACGGATAAAATTATAAAAATAATCCAAAATTTCTAGACAATCTCTGTTTTTTGACAATAAGTTGATACAAGTACTCGTAATATCAAGAATCGACATTAATCCAGACCAGAAATCGACCTTCAGACTTTGGATTAATATCTGTTAATTTCGACCGTAAGTTTGTGTTAGAAGTACAAAAAAGATAAACTGTCAGAAACAGCTAATAGAAATTTAGTTTACCATCATATGATCCGTATAAGTCATTTGCCTCCTATTCCGCACAAAAAAAATTGACACTCAACTCAAAAAAAAATTACATCAAAGTATGTGTGTTCATGGTTTACATTAATACATTAAACTGAGCTGGCCAGAAGCCACTTGTCCTAATAATAGGGACGCCGAGTTAATCTTATATTATATTAATTTACTCAATTTCCAGATGGCTACCAATAAATCTGGACGAAGATTTCCATTTGCACCTTTCATAATGGAGGGACCAACTACAGATAATATTCACAAAAATACGTCCTTTGTTGATACTAAACCTCCTCGTTTCCACCACGGCATCATCCCGTACTTCATTGATTCCAAAACTTATGGTATGGTATAAGTAGACGAAGCTAAAAAGAACCAGTTAACATAACATCACGCCTTTTATCCCCGAAGGGGTTGGTAGAGGTGCACACAGAAGTAACACCCACTTTTCACTATTTATTTTATAGTCCCATGTAATAGGGGGTGAGCCTATTGCCATATACCGACCAGGCACATTTCCAGACTCCGTGCTATTACTGAGATATTTTTTTAAGATCCAGTAATACTTTGCTCGACCCGGGAATCGAACCCGAGACCCCTTGTCTGACAGACACCTCGGCCAACGAGGCAGACTTTTCTGTTTAAACTCATATCTACATAGGGGCAAACAAATTTAGCCTCTTGCGTTTTTTCTTTTTTGATTTCTTGATAAATATTTTCTGTTATCAGTATTACTATAATTGGGTAGGTACTTGCCAACTAGTCAAGTTCAATACTTTTTTCGAACTGTCACAAACGACAGTTTTCTATGAATTTTGAACGAGATTGTGTATTGTTACGTCTCGTTTTCATACCGTCAAACAGCATACTCATTTCTTAAAATTTTGCTGAATAAATACTAAAATTAAGTTGGTCATAAAATCAATTAGAGTGTGATAACTTTTTAATTATTCTATTGTATTGAACAGTTGAATATATTTATTTTTGACCAAGGAAATTACCCTGTAGGTAACGTGTGTCGCATAATAGGCAATTTGTATCTGTAAAATTATTTTACTGTACAACAAAATTTTTTTAAGTTATAAAGGGTTCAATAAAATTAAGAAACAATCCTGGCGTCTTCGTTTATTTGCTCCCAGGTATATTAATGTGCTTATTCCTGCTCTCATCTCACGTACCTAACTTATGGCATAACTCTTTTTCTTCCATTCTCCCTCCTATCGCTCCTCATCGTTCGCTTAATAAAATTGACGTGTAAAAGTGCTGCCTTGTAGCCTATTTGCAGAAAATAATTCACTTGTTTCACTATCCTTGTTTCACTATCCTACACCAAATCTTCTGATTTCAGACGCTCATCTCTCCGAAAAAATACTTGAAGCATTTGATTACTTCGAAAAGGCGACCTGTGTCCGTCTGCAACGCCTTCGAGAAAGGCCGACAGACCAGCGATCGCTGCAAAACGTTATATGGCTGTATATCACCAACCCATCTGGTATTAGACAGTGTGTACATAGCAATGAGAAGGCAGAAATTAAAGGAGTACAGGTATGCGTAATTTTCTTTTTACCTTAACGCCGCCAAAAAGTTATCACATAGAGCCCTGATTGGTTAGTTAACTCGGAACAGCCAAACAGAGCGCTGAAAGTCATAAACGTGTCCAATCGTGTTCGCAAAACAAAACATTAAAGAATCTTGTTTTAAAGAGTGCAAAAATTTGGGAGAATGTAAAATTTTTTATTATTACTTACGTGTATTATAAATTAGGGTTAGGCAAACAAGAGTCCTGACTGAAGTTGCGGATTACCTAGCGTGTTTCCAGGGTACCGACTGGATCCAGGAGTAGGCCGTTCCTACTCAGTGGCTATTAGTCAGTAGGAGTATGGCACTCCCTCTTACCTCAGCCAAGGCATTGGATGATGTCCCTTTTAAAAAATAAAAGCAAAATTAAATCAGCACTGGCATAAAATATTTTTTAAACTAAGCAATAAAGGACTATAAATTACGAAAGGAAATTCAAACCCAAATAATTAATTAATTGATTCCTTTTCATCATCAACAGATGATAGTGTTCGGCTATGACTGCATGAGTGTTGGCGACATATCACATGAGATCATGCATATACTGGGCTTCTCACACGAGCACACCAGACCTGATAGAGACCAATACATCACTATATTATGGGACCATGTGAAAGAAGGTGAGAAATAGAACTATTGTAGCCAGTTTTCAGAATAAATCAAACCGAACCGGAGCATGTCTTAACGGCCTACCAGGCGTGGGGAAGTCTTTGTCCAGCAGAAGACGGCTTCCAGCTGATGATAATGATGTCACGAAGTGGCTACCAGCGAACGATATTCGTGCAATGGCATCAATGATGATTATCAAAAAAGACGGTGAGATATGGTGGAGTGTTTTAAGCACATCATTTGAATTCAGTATGTAAAGTACATAACTGACTCTACTATCTTGTTGCTCTTTTTCTTTATTCACCGAACTTTATTTGTCACGCACAACTTTACATTGAGCGAACCAGTAATATCAAATAGGTAGCAATTTCAATAAAAAAATTGTTTAATAATATCCCTTTTTTAGGTTACAAAAAGTTCTTTGAAATACAATATACGCATACACATCTGGAC